GCCCTGCCATCTTCCCATGATCACCCTGCAGAAGGAGGCCCAGGCTACCTGGGCACTGGCACTGTGGTGAGTGGGCGGGGCCTCCCCCTGTGGAGTAATCAATTGCAGGGCTCTGGGACCGCGAGGAGGTGCAGGCCAGGCTGAGGAATCCACACACCCCCTCAAGTGCACAAATTTCATGCACCAGGCTTCTAGTCTACACTAATTAAAAAAGTATGATGCAAATCGGCTGTACCTTCATGACACCCACCAGCCAATCAGAATTGAGTATGCAAATTAACCCGACAAAGATGGTGGGTTAATTTGTACATGAAAGTGCCGAGCAGACAGGGGCGGGATGCTTGTCATCGCCATGGAGACAATGCAGGCATTCCACACAGCCCCCAGCAGCTTCAGGCCTCTGGGCAGCATGGGAAGGTGGAAAGGTGGCTTAGGCCAAGATGAAGGTGATGCCAGCAACCAAGGGAAGAAAGGTCCATTCTGCATGAATCTTCATGCATCAGGCCTCTAGTATTATCATAAAACTAACATATTGAGCAGTATTAAACCAAAACCATCCTAAAAACAATCAGAGTAATGGCTGGTAAATAAAAACCCCAGGTTAGATAAATGTATTTAGTTTTAATTCTGTAGATATATTTGAAGGATAGTGTTTCTCTCACATCCAAAGAATATTTTAAGGCTAATAATATTAATAATGAGTAGACAGTGCATCTACAATCTTCCTTCTCACACATCATTTTTTAATCAACCTGAGCATCTTGTAATTGGTATAATGTTTACTAGGTACTTACTGTTCGTTGCTTTATTTATTTAACACATTTATTGAACACTAAGGCTACTGGAACAAATGACCATAAACTTGGTAGCTTAAAAAATACAATTTCTTGAAGTTCTGGAGTTCAGAAGTCTGAATCAGTTTCACTGGGTGCAATCCCATTGTTGGCACAGTCACTCACCTATAGGAGGATTAGGGGGGAATCTGTTTTCTTGCCTTTTCTAGCTTCTAAAGCTGCATTCTTTTAGTTGTAGCCCCTTCTCCATTCTTCACAGCCAGCAGCACAGTACTTTGCTTCAGTGGTCACCTTGCCTTCTAATCTGTCAAATCTCCCTCTGTCTGTGTTATAAATAAAAATAATAGTTAGGGCCCATCCAGAGAATCTCTATCTCAAAACCCTTAATCATACCTGCAAAGTCCCTTTTGGCATATCAAGTAGCATTCACAGGTTGAGAGGACTAGGACTTAGATATTTTGGGGGGCCATTATTCACCCCACTACAAACAGTACTGTGGCACATGTCAGTAGGTGCTGGAGGAAGGAGACTCAGAAACTCAGACATTTCTGTATCTGTGCTCATAAGAGCTTGACATTATGGGGAATAGAAGAAATGTATAAAGCATAAACCTGCTTTTTAATTGGATTCTCTAGCAAAGGAATGCATTAGCAGAGAATAAATGCATTTTTTCTCCATTTTTATTCTAACAAGAAAATTGCCAGTTACCTCTTAGAATAAGCAGGCACAAAAATCACCTTACTGTTGAGAAAAATTAACTTTTTCTTTCTTATATCGATATAAAGACAGGATGAGTGGGCTCATCTATCTTAGGAAAAAACAAGCCTTTTTTTTTTTTTCTTTATGTCAACAGAGGGTGTTTTTACAGCAGAGGAATCTTGTTTGGTTAAGGAATTTAAGGAATCTAATGTATCCTGCAAAGGAGGAAATTTAAATCCTAAATGCCTTAGGAAATGACCTAGTAAAATGTGGTATAACATTTAGGGCTTGGCTGGTTAAGGTGTGAAACTAGTGCTTGATTACAACCCATGAAACTTCCTTCCTTCCAAACACAGAGACTCTCTATCACCCTGTTTTCCCTCCCGGAAGTGCTGCATCTTCCTGCTTGCCCAGCTTTTAATGCAGGCATGCAGCCATCTCAGCTGCCACCATCCGTTAGACACCTCCCAGTGCTCGCCCTGACAGGGGTCAAACCCACAACCTTTTGGTATATGGGATGACACTCCAACCAACTGAACCACACCTGCCAGGGTGAATGATACGCTTTTTATTGAAATGACACTTGTCCTTGTACCTATCAACATCAAATACAGTTAACCAAAATAATATCTACCACTTCTAATGCTAGGACCTGGAGTACACTTTGATGTGTCTGGTGTTAAAGAATGTGATGGCTTATAACTGGCCCTGGGAGAAGACATTCACTGAATGATTGTTTTATTCCTCTGAACACCTAAAAACCTATATTCACCACCATTTATATTGGACACTGGAAGACTGAAGTGTGGTATTATTGTCAGACGCTGTCAGTTTTATGGCAAAGCTTTTGTACCCTTTTTATTAACTTTCCATAAACAGGTACATCCCATAGGCGAACTAAGCTGCAATGTGATAAGCCATGTATTTCAAGGCTTATCACATTGCAGCTTAGGTTGGGCCGAAGTATAATATCTTGGTGAAGTCTAGCTCCTCTTTCTCTCCTCTGTTCTCTGCTGCAGTAAATCTTGTTCATTTCCTACTCAATATCCATTATTTGCTTCTTTCTTAGTAACGGAACTCTGACTTAATTGGGGGTAGGAGTTGTGGAGCACAGGTGAAAGGCCACACTTCTAAGAGTATTATTTGCAGCTGCATATGGCTGACTGACTCAATTACAGTCAATCACATGAAAGCATAAATGGTTGGATTGTACTTCCCAGAAAACTCATTACTTTAATAAGTAGCCAGAAGAGCCATCCTTGACCTTTTCAACATTTCCTGCTACCTCTTCCTTCTACTTGCTGACTAGGATTCAGACAAGATGTCTAGAGCATAGCAGCCATCCTTAAGTATAAGGTAGATATGAGGATGGAAAGCAGCATATTGAGAGAGGGTGGAAGCCAACAATTAGGATTGTGGAGCAAAAAATAAGTAAAATGAATAAAAAATAAAATAAAACAAAACAAAATAAAATAAAATAGAGGAGTCTGTGGCATTACCTTATGATCCTCAGACTCCTTAACACAAGAAAATAGCAAAGCTGAGTCTTATTTACAAAACTGTTGAGTATTCTGTTTTATGTAATTAAAGCTGATCCTAACTGGCATAATTTCTCACATACTATGTATTCTGTATGTGTCTGAGGCTCATTAAAATGGAGACAAAGAAAGGAATGGTGGTAGGTATAAAAGTTTGCATGTGCCTGTGAAATAAGAGGATGTTTATTGCTAATGCCAAAAGAGAAAATGGTTCCGTTATTCTAGTAGCAAGACAAGATTAACTCCAAAGATCTTATGGGCTGGGGACTATTAGAATAATCAGTGGTAATTAGGGAAAACTAAAGGCTATTATTGGGTTAATGCATGAGAATAGAATTTGATAAGAGAGAAGTATTTAAACTTTTTTGAAAAATGTTTATTTTTTACTAATTCAATTTACTGGGGTGACCTTGGTAAAGACCATCATATTGGTTTCAAGTGTACATTGCTATGATACATGATCTGTATATCGCATTATGTACCACCACCCATATGTAAACTTTTAAAATACATAATTATGTATAAATTAATTTTCAAAAGCAAAGAAGCCAATTAAAAATTAGTTAAGACCTGACAACAGGCATTTCCCAGAAGCACAAATAGCACCTAAGAACAACCCAGATAGAAAGGGGGGGAAATGCAAATTAAAAGAGACTATTTTCAGGCAAAAGTTTTGAATCTAACCACAGCAGGTGTCATGGATAATTATGTGCCAGCTTAGCCCATGTGAAATGGATTTAAGTATACGTGAATCTCAAAACATCAGTGTGAGGTGAAAAAAGAGTATGATTCCTTATATAAAATACACCACCAGGCCCTGACTGGATTGGCTCAGTGGATAGAACGTAGGCCTGTGGACTCTAGGGTCCCAATCCCAAGTTCAATTCCGGTTAAGGGCATATGCCTTGGTTGTGGGCACATCCCTAGTGGAGGGTGTGCAGGATGCGGCTGTTGGATGTTTCTCTCTCATTGATGTTTCTGACTTTCTATCCCTCTCCCTTCCTCTCTGTGAAAAATCAATAATATATATATATATATATATATATATATATATATATATTTTTTAAATACACCACCAGGATAACTATATTTTTATGGAATCTTACATATATAACTCTTTTAAAGTAAGAGGATGATTAATACAAAATTCAGGATAATGGTATTTCATAATGATACCTGGCTATTCTTTTTATTATTCTTTAAAATGTGCAAATATAGGATAATTTATATTGTTTACTTCACCATTAGTAAGTCTTTAAAAAATTCAGTGAGATTTTAAGGAGAGCAAATTGAGTACATCAATAAGTTCTACACTGTGCGTCAGGGTTTCCTTGTTACCATGTAACCAAACAAAATAGATAATTAATTCTCTTGGCTTCTGAGGCTGATGTAAGATGGTACCTTCAGCTGTAACCACTATTTCAAAGGTTCTTTTTTTTTTTTTTCCTCCACACCCTCCTCACTGTTCTCAATTACCTCTAAGTATTTTAATACAAAGGCGATGTTATATAATACTTTGCAAATTAAAAATGTCCACCTTTCTCTGCTTACTTTGGCCTTCTAAGTAAAGTTCCATTAAACACAACGCGGTTCCTTCATTTGAGAAGGTTGGAAATAACCCGTGACCTCGAGTTAAACACAAATACAAATGTGCAGCTCCTGTGATGCTATCAGAATCAGCTGACGGTTACTGGTGAGAGCCTCCCCCTGGAGCCTCAGGGGACCAGGTCCTAAGAGACGGGCGAGTCCTCTATCCGCGGAGAAAGAGGACAGGAGTCCAGCCTGGCTGTGCTCCGACCTTTTCTCCACATTTAATTAGTTCAGGACACACTAACAAGCTCTCCCCTCCCATCCACCTCCCTCCCCATCCGCACAGCCAGAGGCGCCTTTGCCAGGGGAACCAGAGCCCCGCCCCTCCACAAGCCCCGCCCCTAAGTAAGCCCCCGCCCCTCGCCAAGCCCCGCCCCCGGCTCCCGGAACGCTCCGCGCGCGGCTTGGAGGCGGGGCAGGTCGGCCCGCCCGGAGGCCGCAGGCACCTCCCGCCCACCTCCCAGCCCGCGGAGCCGCTGCCGGGCCGCCCCCCAGCCCCGGTGAGTGACCGACCGGGGGGAGTCGGGGCCCCGCACCCGCGGGTGCGGCGGGGAGCGGAGAGGGGGGGCGGGGGGAGTCCAGTGCGTGCGCCTGCGCGCTGGTTCGCCAGCCAATCTGCTCGCCGCTCCCGTGCTCCGCGGGGCCGGCGGGCGGCGGGAGCTGCGGGCCTCGGACCCGGGCCGCGGCGCTCGGCCCCCGTGTAGCCGCCGGGGTTGGTGTTACTGCCTTCTCCCTTGCTTTCTCCCCACCCCGTCGGCGTCCTCTCCGCCACTTGGGAATGGAGCCTTCACCTGCCTCGGTTTTCCCTTCCTGTCCCGAGCGAATTGGGGTTTGGGGTTTGGGGGTCCACCCCTCGTCCCGGGGTCCCCGGGGCGGCCGGGCCGGGGGCAGAGAGCGAGGGTGGCGGCGAGGCCCCACGGGGAGGCTTCTTCCTTCACCGGTTCCAGGCCGGGCACTGCCCTCGCAGACGTCTGTTCTGCGGAGGCTCAGGTGCAACGGTGGTGGATTACTGTCTTTTTTTTTTTTCATTTCCCAGAAGAGGACATTGGAATTCAGGCAGTTAGGATAGTTTGTTTTGGTTTTATTACTATTGCAAGACTCTACAGATAGCTGTTCAGGGGAAATGTAGAAGTGATTAAAACAAATAAAAAGCAAGGGAGAATGCCGTTATATAGACTTAAAAAAATGGGTTATGTGTTAACGTATTTAGACAGGAGTTGGAAATATTCATACAAGATAAAATTTAGAGATTAGCAATGGTAGGTCACGTTGCACATCGTTTTCATGCTGTTACTCTGTTCCTGTTAAGCTGTATGTAAGCCCCTTGAGTGCAGTGACTATTGGGACTTTTCAGGCCCCACGCTGCAAACATTGGTCACGTGACGAACAGTGTTTGATCAGAAAATAAGCTGTTTTGAGATTAAATGTGGGCTACAGTTTTTGAGCAGGTAACAGTTAATCACTGTTTAATGAAAACAGGGTCACATGTCAGCAGTGTTACATTCTGTAAACTTGGTGTGTGTAATATGTGCTAGGAAGGTGGGCTGGCCTGAGGGCAGAAGCTTGAGTGAGTTGATTAACATCACGCCTGTTATTTGCCATGTGCTAACTGTTAAAGTTAACAAGGGCTCTGTGCCCTAGTTACATCAGCTGTAAAATAGCGTGAAAAGGGGTTTCTGCTTCATAGATTGTTGTGAAGATGAAAACAAAAGGCTGAGAGTAGGCTTACCTGAATTTTTGTTAGCCAGAGGATACAAGTGTTTACTTAAAACCGACCTGCAGACCTGGGCAGGAAGCCTTGGCTCTGAAACTGACTTTGAAAGTTCCAGATCTGTCTTACAGTACTAGCGTATCTCTCGTGGCTTCCTAGAAAATAAAATTAGAAGAAAACAATGCTAAAAGGAGAAAAGCACCAGAAGTCTGTATAATAGATAATTAAAACGTGAAGTTTTTTGGCTTTTCTGAGTAACAAGGCAACAGTAAATACTTTTTGAAATAATAGTTAAATTATACGGTTTCTGGATCCCTTGGACCTCACTAAACCTCCAAGTCAAAAATTAGCACTTCAGAGATTAAAAGCACAACACACCAATACAGAAACCATAAAGTTTAGAAAGAACCTATGATGTAATGTAAACTGACCCTTGCAGATAACAGATTTTCAATAGCCAATACCTGGAATCAGTTCCTGCTTTGAGAACCTATACATCTATAATTAACTTGCAGGTTTTTGTTTTTGTTTTTTCTCTCAAGTGACTTCTGAAACTTCTTTTGTGGAACCCAAATAAGTAGTTCCTCTTTACCAGTGGTCGGCAAACTCATTAGTCAACAGAGCCAAATATCAACAGTACAACGATTGCAGTTTCTTTTGAGAGCCAAATTTTTTAAACTATATAGGTAGGTACATGGTTATTAACTTAATTAAGGTACTCCTAAGCTGAACTTTGCTAAGAACTCAAGGGGCCAAAGAGCCGTATGTGGCTCTCGAGCCGCAGTTTGCCGACCAATGCTCTATACTAGGGGTGTCGAACTCAATCAGAGAAGGGGCCAAAATCTAAAATCCAGCCTAAATCGTGGGCTGAATGGTTTACTGAACAGTCATAAACTGTCATTGTGATGGAAACGCAGCGGAGTGCAGTGATGACAGTGCGGTGCGGGTCACATTGCAAGGCCTGGCGGGACGGATTTGGCTCACGGGCCTTGTGTTTGACACATGTGCTCTATACCTTTCCTGTGAGATTATTGCACCTGTTAGGCATTCCAAGGATCATTGTGGTTTTGCTCTGTTGGACATAATTTTCATTAAAATTGATTTTTTAATTTTTGGATCTGTATAATCTTCCTGTATAATCAGCTCATTATTGACTATAAACATATTAGGTATATGTATAGTCAGTAGAATCTGTCTATACACATATTGCCCAAATATATACCAGTATCAGAACAAAGGGCCAGAAATTAAATTGTTTAAGCTGGACACTTAACAGTTGCTGACTATGAATAAGATATATTGGGCTCTACTAGACTGTAGAGGTAAGGGTTCTATTATATTCCCTATGTAGTAAATAAATAACATGATGCAATACATTTTTTAAAATGCCAATTTAAAAAGCAGGTAATGCTGTAATAATAGAATATGTGAGAAAGTGAGTGCTTTTCTCTCTGGAACCATTAGAGGTATCAAAAAGAAGAGGCAACATTTCAGCTTTGTCTTGAAGGATAAGTAGTATTTTAAAAGTTAGCCATATAGACAATAGGCATTTAAAGAGAATAAATCATGTTTTAGTTTTCAATTTTTTGCCTGACACCCAGCTTTGATAGCAGGCATTGTCATCATAAATGCTTGTATATTTATTCAGTGTAATGTAAGCCAGAAAGATTCTAAGAATTTTATAATGTTAACTTATTTTATCCTCACAAAAATCCTGAGTCATGTGATAACTCCTATAGATGGAAAAAAAAAGGGGGGGAGGGAGGGGAAGCTCACTTGTATAGGTGAAATAGCTGAAAAGGATACAACTGGAATGTGTACCTGGGCATCTGAACTGTAGAGCCCATATTTTAATCACAATGACCTGCTGCCTTGCTTATGGTTGAGATGACTTACTGTTATCTGAGATATGAAGGTTGGGATAGAAGCAGTGGATCATCTATAATGATTGATAATTTTTTTAAGTGAATGTAAAGAGACAGAGAGAGAGATAGAGAGAGAGACACAGACACAGACACAAAGAGGGTCCAGTTTAAGAAATTACATTGACAGGCAAGAGGGGAAAAATCATTGACTTTCATAAATTGATTTTTTTGGTGTTTTATGTAGATCTGAGAAGTTTATATATTACAAATATTTAAAAAAATCAAGTAGTCCTAACTGGTTTTGCCCAGTGGATAGAACATCAGCCTGTGGACTGAAGGGTCCCAGGTTCCATTCTGGTCAAGGGCATGTACCTTGGTTGCAGGCACATCCCTAGTGGGGGAGTGGTACAGGAGGCAGCTGATAAATGTTTCTCTCTCATCAATGTTTCTAACTCTCTCTCCCTCTCCCTTCCTCTGTAAACAATCAATAAAATATGGTATTTATAAAAATCAAAACTATGTTGCCTATATTTCTTTGCTTTTTATTTATTTTTAAATACAATCGGTATTTACCAATTGATTAAAACATTACCCTTTTATACTTTCTTTCACATACATTATCTTGCATGATTCACAGAACAGCTTTGTCGGAAAGCAAAACAGGCCATGTACTCCTTTGCAAGAAGAGATTAGTTACTCAGGGTCACACAACTAAATCAACATGACTGATTCTTCCATTCCAAAATCAATATTCTTTCCATTATATATCCTGCCTCTCATGCATTTCACCACTGAGCTAGTCAACATCTCAAAAGTCAATGTCTTGCTGATTTCTAAATTCAGTAGTTATTTCTCCATCCTCTGTGACTCATCGATATTCATTACCATTGATTATTTTCTTATAAAATATCTACCCCAAACTTTTCTTAAAAGGATTGCTTTCATTTTAGAAGACAGAGTAAGAAAACATAACCGTATTTTCTCACCCAAAGATGGTAATCCTTATACCTATTTATCTTATTTTCTCCCTCAGTGTGTATCTTTAATATAATTGATATAATGTTATATATATTTTTTTCTATTTCATGGAAATTTAAGGAAACAAATCACAGGTAACCAAAACTAGTTATATCATTCCTTTATTCTTATCTAGAGGGCTGCCACATTCCATAGGTAGGAATTTCACTCCCTGGAGTCCCTCTCTCAGTGCAGAGCTTGGAAGAGTACTTACATGAGTTGGCCCTTCCCAGAAATAAGCAGGTATTAGGTTAACAGCGTACATCCTCCAGTTTGCTTTCTTTATTTTTCCTTTTTAATTTTCAAACATATTTATACTTAAAGAATTAAACAGTTCTCCTTTGCTTTTTTCTGAAGATTCATCAAATGGTACTATTTTACCACATTTGCTTTATCATTGTACACATACACACTTACATAGTACATTATGAACAATTACATACATGTAATTGTATGCAAGTGTGCACACATGTGCACATATAAACATTGACCTTTGTGTGTGTCTAACATTTTGATGTTTCCTCATGCTTAGATCCAGATTAAATTTTGAGAAATACCACAGCAGTGATTCTGTGTCCTTAAGACATTCTCAGGAGATTTATGATATCTCCTTCCAAAATTAACTAAAGAACTTAATTTTTATCACTTGTCTAATAACATGGTATCTGCTAGGTTCTGAACTGTTAAGTTACTATTTTCCCTTTGTAGTTAATTAGATATCTTTTGGGGAGATATACTGTTTCTCATCAAACTTTTTCTCCCTCATTTAATATCCATTGATAACTCCTGTCTCATAATTATTGTTATGATAGTTGCCAAATGGTGATATTCTAATTCCATTACTCAGTCTAAATTTGTTAGTTGACTTTCTAAGATGAGTCTACTTTATTCCACTTACTTTTACATTTTAAAAAATATAGATTCAGAAGTCCTCACTTTATTTTAATGCCTTAGTTTATTCTTATTCCTTATTTTGATGCTGAAATTGTCCCAGATTTAGCCATTGGTTGCTCTGCAAAAGTACATTTTGTGTGTGTGTGTGTGTGTGTGTGTGTGTACTTCCCTACTTTCTAGGTTTACCTTATAAATTTTCACCCACAGCTTTACAATAAACATTTCTCCAAAGAACCTGGTTCTTTTAAGTAGAGAAGGGTACTTAAAAACCAAAATTGGCATCAGATGTGTTAATTGCTGCTGTCCGGGGATCCCAGGTTCTATTCAGGTCAAGGGGGTGTGTAAGAAGCTGATCTGTGTTTCTCACTCATCCACTCATAGATGTTTCTAGCTCTCTCTCTTTTTTCCTCTGTAAAAAAATCAATAAAATATATATATTTAAAAAAAGTAATGCTCATCTTAGTATTTCTTGCACATATGCATAGTAGAAGCATCAGTTTATAGACAGTTTTTGTGTGTGACAAATACTGGGGTTTTAGTTTAAATTTTACTTGTGTGTCTTTTCCATCATAGTTAATTTATTTTAACTTAATGCTTTATAGTAACAAAAATGTGAATAAATAATAGAAAATCATATTTTATAAATATAATCAATGTAAACTTTCCATCAAATAACTAATATTTGTGCATAAAAAGACTTATTAAAATTTTATCCATGTATACATATATATACCTATGTACATAAACACACCCTATGCATGTGTATATATACACAATTAATAAAACATAAAGAATATACATGAAACCACTTTAGAAGTTGTAATTAACAATACAACCTCTGTTCAATGTGATTTTCAAAGTGATAATGTAATATTTTTAAAAATCAGGAAGTTAAGTTGTGATCATTTAATTTTTTTATCTCATTCTATTCCATATAACAAATGTCATTTAAAATAGGTCATTACTCCCTTCTTGTTTAATAATTATTTTTTGTTGAAAAAATTCGTTTCTTGAAAATCTCACAAGTATTTCCTTTTTAAAACAATGAACCTTAACTTTATATTTAGAAAATTTTAGTCCCTATACATAGAATGTTTTAATTATATTTAGTATTTGTAAACTCTTTCCAAATGATGAAAAATATATTTGTTTTGTTAAATAATATTTTCAAAATGTTTATCTGACAAAATATAATTATGGTATTTCCAAATACTGCATTTAGTTGAGCCATATATAGATTCTGTTGCAGACATAAGTATTTGATATAATTAAAACCCTAATGCACTGTTAAATTTTTTCAATGTAATGAATTTTGTGCATTTGAGTTTTCATTTTTTAATACATTGGAAAATATTATTACCATTTACTAATTACTGTTTTTCAATAAATTACAGCTAAACATTTGTTATTTTGGAGTTTAAAGTATGTCATCATGGCAAAGTTTCGAAGAAGGACTTGCATCATTTTGTCACTTTTTAGTCTATTTATTTTTTCTGTGATGCTGGGTTTAAAAATGCTGAGACCAAATAAAGGCACTTTTGGAGCTCCTTTTGGACTTGATCTTCTTCCAGAAGTTCGTCGACAAATTCCTCGCTTGGAGAAAATTTTTGATTCTGAAATGAGTGACACAATCAACAGTGAAACAAATATCAAGCATTTAAAAAATGTTGAATTTACTGTGAAACCTCCCAAAGCCTCTGAACCTCTCCTGGAAGAACTGCAGCCTCTGAATTATTATTTACATGTATTTTATTACACTTGGTATGGAAATCCACAATTTGATGGTAAATACATACATTGGAACCATTCAATGCTGAAGCACTGGGACCCTAGAATAAACAATAATTATCCACAAGGGACACACAAACCTCCAGATGATATTGGCTCCAGCTTTTACCCTGAGTTGGGAACTTACAGCTCTCGGGATCCTTCTATCATCGAAACTCACATGAAACAGATATACTCAGCTTCAATTGGTAATTATTTTATTTTGTTGTGTGTGTATGAGTGTAAAATACATAATGTTTGTAGAAAATTAAGTTACTAACCTTCACATTATTATAAGTGTAGAATTATAAACTCCAATTAAACTACATATGTTCTTAAACATACAGAAAACCACTTTTTTTTTTAATCCTCACCCAAGGATATATTTTTTTAATTGATTTTTAGAGAGAGTAGAAGTGGGGGAGAGAGAGAGAAACATCAATGTGAGACAGATATCGGTTGGCTGACCAGGGCCAGGGATAGAGCCTGCAGCCCCAGGTACATGTCCTTGACCGGGAATTGAACCTACAATCCTGTGCAGTGGTTGGCTCACGCTAACCACTGGACAACACTAACAAGGGCAGGAACTGACTTCTAACACTAATTGGTTTAATTTTAAAATTTTGTAAGATTTCTGGGTATATTTTTAATTTATAATGTACTGTTTTCAAATTACTAAATTTTTATTTTTGTAAGAGACCATGAATTTTCCCCTTTAAGTATACAGCTCAGTGTTTTTCAGAGATGTGTACCTGTTTAAATACCACCCATCATGAAATAAAATACTGAATAGCCCAGAAAGTCTTGTCGTGATTCCCTTATTCAGCCCCACCATTCCACCCCAGAAATCTATGAATGTGATTTCTATAACTGTAGAGAAGTTGTGAGTGTTCTCTTACTACAAAAAATAGAATTATTCAGCATTTGTGTGTGTGGTCTTTTACTCAGACTGCTATTTTGAAATTTACCTATATAAAAATATCAGTACTTTATAATTATTGAATAGTATTCCATTGTAATAATTTTAGCAATTTAGTGATTTGTTTCTACATTCATCTTGATGGACATTTGGGCTATTTCTAGGTTTAGGCATATAGCATATGATTTGGTCTTTTTTCTCTGTTTTTTAAAACCAGTCTGACAGTCTCTTCTCTTTTAAAAAAATATATTTCAAAGAAGAACGGAGAGGGAGAGAGAACCATCAATGATGAGAGAGAAACATTGATTGGCTGCCTCCTGCATGCCCACAACTGGAGATCAGGCCTACAACCCAGGCATGTGACCTGGCCAGGAATTGAACTGTGACCTCCTGGTTCATAGGTCTAGTCTCAGCCATTGAGCTTGGCAATCTATTCTTTTCCTATTTTCTATAAAGAATTTGTATTACAGTCAATTCTTTTTTAATTTCTGTGTTTATTTCATTTACATTTAGGTACGGTTGTTTTAAAAGTTTCATTTGACTATTTCTTTATCCCATCTGTTCTGCTCCTTTCCCCCCTCTCTTCCTTCTCTTATATTGAATATGTTTTTGCTGTTTGATATTCTCCTTTGGCTTATTACATACAATCCATTTTATTTATTTTACGATTTTTGCAACATTTACCATACGCATCTTTAAGTGGGTGAGAAATCATTGGTAATTTTTATTCTTGTTCCTCCTTTTCTTCAACTTTCTATTCTCACTAATTTCTGGCACTCCAGTTATACATATTTGATAGAGACATATTATCCAACTAGTAAATAATATGAGAAAAATATTGGGTGCCTAAAAATTCTTCAGGTCATTAATATATGTTTTATAAAAACCTTCCTGTTTTCTTTTCTTTTGCTTGTTAGCATCCCTAACACTAATGCCATAAGAAGAAATTAGGTATTCTCACATTTTTGTAATTGTACAAAAACTACAAACTCACTATCAATCATCTATGTATGCAGAGACATGCAAGGACAAAACAATACAGAATTTTGTGAATCTACATCAACTATGTGTAAGATGTCTTGTTTTTCTTCTGTATTTTTTTTAACCATTTAAAACAAATCTAAGTTTATAGTATATACTTAATAGCTCTAATTTCTATATTCCATGACATAAATTGTGACAAAATAGGATTGGTAAATTCAGATAGCATTAACTAGTGCATGTGTATGTGTTCCTATCTATTTACAATTTACTTTTTGGGGGAAGAACTTTCAAATTACTTTTTCTTTTTTTCTATAAAGAATTTGTATTACAGTCAATTCTTTTTTATTTCAAGGTTGATGTGTTTGTGGCTATAAAAGCCATGCTTGATTGACAGAAAAAGGAAGAAGGATATTCATGGTAGCTTTAGTTTTCTTAATGCAAACTGAACTGTATACAATAAGGCTCTTTTTCTCTTTGATCAGATGCATGACTGCTTATATGTGAGCAATATGTAAATGGCATATTACTATATTATAGTTTAATTATGATTAAGAAAAAGTTTCAATTCATATTTAGTTCTAAGCCCATCCAATGTTTTATGAAGACCATGTCCCCTATTAATTATATAATACTACATAATATGTATGAACATGAGTCCTTTCAAATATAAACATTGTCAACTATACAACTTTTTTAAAAATCTTCCCAGTTGTTGGCAATAATTATTTTTGTCAGATATTCACCTTCCTCCCCCAAACCCCCCTTCTTGCTCCCACCCCTCCCCAGGTCTATCCCTGGGCTATGCTTATGTGCATATAAATTCATTGGTTAATCTCTTCCCGATTTATCTTAAATGTTGACAATTTCAGTATTGATGCAAATATATCTTTGGTAGATTTTCTGCAGGAGAAAATTAAAAAACAACTTGATAGTAAAAAAAAAAAAAAAAGGACATATAACCCATTAGTAAATAATTTATTTCCTTATTAGTTACATATTGAATTATAGTAATCCTTTTTAATTGAGATGTAATTGCATTTAACATTTGGTAAATTTAAGGTTTATAGCATATTGATTTGATACATTTACATTGCAATATGCTTGCCATTGTCATATTAGTTAACCTATCACATTATTATTTATTGTAGTGATAGGAACAATTAAGATCTAGTCTCCTAGCAAGTTTAATGGTTATAATAGTTTTGTTTATTCTCACTGTATATTAGATCTCTGGGTTGTCTTATTTTTATAGTAGTTGCAAGTATGTGCCTTTAGCAACATATACCCCATTCCCTACTCTCCATCTGCTAGTAACCACCATTCCACTATTTTTCTTTGAGCTTTCTTTGTTGTTGTTTTTTAGATTCCACATATAAGAGATATCTTACATTATTTGTTCTTCTATGTCTGACTAATCCAGAGCAATTGGATATGTTGTTTTGTGTACTTTTATCCATTATTTTTCCTCATATTTCATTTTGGTAATTTTTTGTGACTTGCCAGAATTATCTCTTTCCTCACTTCTCTTGAGTCTATGAGTCTGTTCAAGATATTCTTCATCTCTTAATATGATCTTCATTTGCAGCATTTGTTTGATTCTTAAAATTTTTATCTCTACTATTTTCCACCTGAATTTACCTCTTGGCTATCTTTTCCTTTAGATTCTTGATCATAGTGGTCGGCAAATTCATTAGTCAACAGAGCCAAATATCAACAGTACAACGATTGAAACTTCTTTTGAGAGACAAATTTTTAAAACTTAAACTATATAGGTAGCTACATTGTTATTAATTTAATTAGGGTAGGTGGTATTTTGTGGAAGAGCCACACTCAAGGGGCCAAAGAGCCGCATGTGGCTCACAAGCTGCAGTTTGCCAACCACTGTGTTATCATGTAATCATAGTGATTTTATGCTTCCTGTTTAATGACTTCAGCATTTGTTTCTTGTCTGAATTTGGTTTCATTGATTGCTTTCTCTTGTCGGTGAGTTGTTTTCCTTGCTTATTTATGTGCCTTTTAATTTTTATGTGCTTTTTAATGTTCCATGTCATTCTGTATAGTGATAATAGTGTTTATGTCTGGGAATGGAAATGCCTTTTTTTTGGATAAATCTTTAGTTTGAAAAAATGTTTGAGATATTTTAAAGGGACACTATATGTAAGTTTCCAACAATGTCGGAGAAGCTTTCATAAGTTCTGTGGAATCCAAATTTATTTACTGTTGTACTGTTTTCTTGTTATTGTTTTTTGTAATTAATTTTGGGGGGAGCTTACTCTGTGTGATGCATGTTTTCATATATATCTTTTTTCCTTAATCCTTACCCCAGGATATGTGCTTTTTTAAAAATTGATTTTAGAGGAAAGGAGGGAAGGAGGGAGGGAGGGAGAGAGGGAGAGGGAGAGGGAGAGGGAGAGGGAGAGAGAGAGAGAGAGAGAGAGAGAGAGAGAGAGACTGACTCTGACTCTGATGTGGGGGAGACCTAGATTGGCTGCCTCTCAAACGCGCCTTGGCCAGGGATCGAACCTGCAGCCTGGATGCCCTGAATGGGAATCAAACCCACAACCTTTCCCTGTATAGGATGGCCGAGCCATACTAGCCAGGGCTGATTTATATTTTTTAAACGGATTTTTAGGTTATTCATTAATTCCCATTTTACACATATGAAAACTTAAGTAAAATTACTTACATAAAAATAAACACCTGTCAAACAACATAACTGGGACTTGATTCTCTATCAAAATCATATCTGGTGTTCTTAACTATTACCTTGTTTCAATGCATTCTTTAACTTAACAGGGGGGAAATAGATGTCAGTTATATTGAAGGTTATCCTTTGATAAGTCTTTTGGAGGGATGACACCATTAATATGGCATGATCTGCATTTAACATACTAATATTCTAAGAATGGATTTCAGTGAGTATTACTTTTCATTTATCATTTGGAAAGGTAGAAATACATAGTAATCAGTATTACTTATGAATGATACCTGGTTGGCGTGTTTTACAGGAATCTGGTGACTATGAAGGACTCATTTACCATTGTAAATGGTCCAGGTAACAATCATCATTTGCTTGGTACCCAGAATACTACTTACGTAGAGCTCACGAGTGAGTCTTCTGCGCTATTCAGCAGGTTCTCAAATGTTTGTTCTTGTCTTTTGTTATAACATTGATGAGATGCCATAGTGTTGCCAGTGGAAATGTGATACTTCCACAGAGTTGTGAAAAAAAGCATTTTGGAGACTCAAGCAAAGGAGGATGTGAATAGTGGCAGTGGTTTTGGAGTGGAAACCTAGGACTGCCAGGTGCCCAATGTCTCATCCAAACCAGGTGGCTGAGCTCCATCTCTCTGTGGAAGTCTGGGGCCTGGTCAGCACAGGAACACAACCCACCAAGAGGGTCAGGATCCAGACTGTACTGCCACCGCCTTGGGCTCCAGTAGTCCAACATAGTCCCTGCTCCTGACTGCCCTCTGGCCTGATCACCACCGTGCTTAACTTGTGTGGCTGCAATGAGAAGAGAAGGTGTTAAGGAACCAGCCCCTGGCATTTGTTAGTAAGCTTTGCTCATATTACTCGGGGCTTGTGAAGGGATAAGCTTTCTTTCAAACTAACCAGTCTTCTGATTTTTTGTGGGCTTGTGCTGGGTCCTCCCCTTATTTAATCCCTTTCCTTGATCTTTGGGGTTCTGTGCCCTTATCCTATCCAGTCCTTTCCTCAGATTTTTCCAGGCTGTTATGTCGCATTTTGGCTCCTATTGCAGTGGTCTAATAGTTTTGCTTCCTCATCTGACTTCTACTGCACACGCTTCAGTATAAGAATCTCTTTTACGAATTCTCTTCCTCCCCCCCCCCCCCACCCACCTTCGTATTCTATAGGAAGGTGCTGGTTGTTCCCTGAAAAGTTGGACCTTCCTACCTGGTGGAGGGAGGGATGTTAATCCCCTTGGCAGAGCAATGCAGCTATTCCCTGGGGTGTCCGGAAGTTAAACCTTCCAGACTTAAATCAGGCTCTCTTCGTTAAATGAAGACTTACTGTACAAAGATAAGATTGGATTATGAAGCGCAGTATGGGCTAGCATTAGGCACATGAGGTGATAATGGATACAATAAAGAAATTGAAGTACAGTAACAGAATAAGGAAGAACAAGGAATATACTCCCCAAGACTTAGCACCTTTATTCATAATTGTCCCAAACTTGAAGCAACCAAGATGTTGTTCAGTAGGTGAATAAAGTGTGGTACATTTCTACAATGGGATGCTATCCTATATAATAAAAGCCTAATATACTAAGGGTCCAGTTATCCAGGTCAACCAAAGCATAATGTGCTAATGATATGCTAAGGCTGCTCAGTCACTTACTATGATGTGCATTCACCACCAGGGGACAGTTGACCAGTGGCTATGACATGCAGTGACCACCAGGGGGCAGATGCTCTGAATGGTAGGTTAGCTTGCTGCTGGAGTCCAGCCAATCAGGACTAAGACAGGCTGGACATGCACTGGAGTCCTCCTGAGGTCCCTCCCTGGCCCTGATTGTGCACCAATGGGGTCCTTCGGCCTTGCCCTCTCACAATCCAGGACCCCTCAGGGGATGTCAGCCAGTTTCAGCCTGATCCCGCAGGCCAGGCAGAGGGACCCTACTGGTGCATGAATTCATGCACCAGGGCTCTAGTTTCACAATAAAAAGAATGAACAATAAATCCATAAAAACACATAAGTGAACCCTAAATGCATATTGCTAAGTGTGAGAAGCCAGTCTGAACAAAAGTTACTTTTTTATTTCACCTATATGAATGACATTCTGGAAAAAGAAAAACTATAAAAACAATAACCAGATCAATTATTGGTCAGGGAGTTGAGGGGAGACAAGAGGGATAAATAGGTGGAGCACACAGTTGTGAGAGCAGTAAAACTAAGCTAGGTGATACTGTAATAGTGGTCACACGGCATGTATTTATCAAAAGCCGTAGAACTGCACAGCACAAGAGTGAGCGCTAGTGTGATCTGTGGACTGTAGTTAATGATGTATCATATTAGTTCATCAGTTTTAACAATTGTACCACACTAAAAAAAAGATGCTAATAATAATAACTATATGGGATGGAGAGGGGCTGGGTAGACAGGGAATACATATATGGAATATTGTACTTTTTGTGCAGTTTTCCTGTAAACTTTGTTTTAAAAAATAAAAGTCTGTTAATTCACAGTTACTGATGCCTGATAGAGTTCATAAAATTTATTATACAAAGTAATCTAATAGTCGGAGGTAGTATCTAATGTAACAAAACAATGTTAAGGTCATATATTTTTGTTAAAACTTCAATTGTTATTGTGCCCCTCCCCCACCTTTTTTTTTTTTTTTTTTTTTTTTTTAAGAATACCTGCAGTCATTCTTGTTTCTATGTTCATTTTTTTGTTTTTTTCTTTTTGGTCTTTTCTGTTAGGTGTATTAGCCCTTTCTTGGTACCCACCTGATTCCCATGATGAGAATGGAGTACCTACTGATGACTTGGTACCAACTATTTTGGATAAAGCACACAAATATAATCTAAAGGTACTTTATTTCATGTATTTTAAATTTTTGTTGAGATATAATTGACATATGACATATTTGTTTTAGATGTTCATTATAATACAACATACTACATATTTGAAACGATCATCACAATAAGTCTAGTTAATACCATTATATATAGTAACAATGTCTTGTGATGAGAAGTTATATAATAAGATATATTTTCTTAGTAACTTTCACATATGCAATGCAGTTATAAACTATAGTTACTGTGTTTTACTTTACATGCCAAAACTTAATTTTATGACTGGAAGTTTGTACCTTTCATCAACTTCAAACATTTTGCTCCACCCCCCATCTCAGGAAACTATGATCTGTGTTCTGCAGCTCTGAGTTGTTGGTTGTGCGTGCATGTGTGGAATTTAAAATTCCACATTTAAGTGAGATTGTGTGGTATTTGTCTTTCTCTGACAGACTTATTTTACTTAATATAATGCCATCAATATCCTTCCATGTTATAACAAATTGCAAGATTTCCTTCTGTTTTTATAACTGAATACATATATCACATTTTCTTTATCCATTCATTGGCTAATGGACATTACATTGTTTCCATTTCTTGGCTGTTGTAAATAATGATGCATTGAGTATCCAGTGTTTTTTCCACTTAATGTTTCTATTTCCTTTGTACAGTAGTTCTATTTTTACTTTTCTGAAGAAACTCCTTACTGTTTACCATAGTGGTTGCACCAATTTATATTCCTTTTTTTCCATATCCTTGCAAACTCTTATTTCCACCCTTTTTTATAGTAATTCTAACAGATGTGAGATATCTCTCTGTGGCTTTGATTTGCATTTCCCTGATGATTAGTGATGTTAAAGTATCTTTTCATTTATTTGTTGGGATATGGATTTTTTTCTTTGGGAGGTGGAGGGGAGTCTACCCATTTTTAAATCAGATTGGTGTTTTTGTTTTTATTGCTATTGGGTTATATGAGTTCTTTATATATTTTGAATATTAACGCCTTATAGATAAATTATTTGCAAATATTTTCTTCCATTTGGTAAGTTGCCGTTTATTTTGTTGATGGTTCCTTTGCTGTGCAGAAAGAAGCTTCTTAGGTTGATATAGTTCCATTTTTGTTTTTCTTAAGATACTTTATTTTTCTTGTTATTTTTCCAATGGATTGCTCAGTAGCATATTTTTAAACTATACTTGTGAGTTTTCTTCTTGTAATTGACTTCTAGTTTCATATCATTGTGATTCCAAAAGATGCTTGATATGATTTTAATCTTCTTAAAATTTTAAGACTTGTTTTGTGGCCTAACATTTGATGTATCCAAAATAATGTTCCATGTGCACTTGAGAATATTTTGATTTTTTTTGGATTGAATTATTTTAGTTCTGTTGTATCTGGTATAACATATGTCTTTATTAATTTTCTATATGGGTGATTTATCCACTGTTCCTCCTACTATTTAATTTTGCCTACTTCAGTTTTTTAAGCTTGTTAATAATTGCTTTTTACAATATATTTAGGTTTCCCTATATTGTTTGAGTAAATATTTAGAAATGTTATATATAGTATTTTGTTGGATTAACACCTTTATACAGGGTATGAAAAAAGTAGGTTTACAACCTGTCTGGTATGGGTCATTGGTTAATGGTCAATCTATAAACAAAGAGGTCAGGGTTAGATTCCTGGTCAGGGCACATATCCAATTTTTAAATTTGATTCCCAGTGGGAGGCATGCAAAAAGCAGCTGATCAATGATTCTCTCTGATCACTGATGTGGCTATCTCTATCTCCCTCTCTGAAATCAGTCTATACACTAGTATATAAAAGGCTAATTTGCTAAGTGTTGCTATAATGCACAGTGACCACCAGAGGGCAGACGTTCAACACAGGAACTGCCATGACACTGGTCAGACACAGACCCCACCCCACCTCCACCACCCTGGAGCAACAGCCCAACATATTGCAGCTGATGCTGCTGAGGCCAGCCTGCAAATGGTTGCTGTGGGCACCAGGTAATGATGTCAGGTAGCAACACCCAGCTTCCTCTCTCTAGCAACTAGTAACCTCCTTGCACTTTCTTCAGCCCAGGAACATAACTTGCTGTATAGCCAGATGGAAACATTTTACACTTTAACCAAATGTCTGTGAAGCATTTTCCCATGCCTCATCTCATTTGATCCTCACAGCACTACTGGAGTAGGCAGATAGGAGACTGTGTGGAATTCTATTTTATTTTCATTAGCTGGGAAACGGAGATTTAGAAAGCTTAGAAATTTGACCCGATTGAAAGAAGAAATGGTGGACCTTGAAAATGACTTCAAGTTTTCTCACTGCATAGTCAAACACTGCTGCAGTTAAGTATTTTACCCTTTGTTCTCCCTGAGTGATCTATAATAATCTGCTTTGTGTTGATATTTAAGATTCTTTAACTTTTGACTATTAATCTTAGGGGAGTCTCTTTCAGTACATTTTATTTGGAACTCTGAGATTTCTGGACTAGATGCCTGTTCTTCCCCATATTAGGGAAGTTTTCTACCCCTTTTATTTAGGGATCCTTATAATGCAAATTATTGGGCTTTTTTGATATTATCCCACAAGTCCCTTAAGTTCTCTCATTTTCATTTTTCTTTTGCTTTTCTGAATGGATGAGTACCACTGCCTTATCATTGAGTTCATTGAGTCTTTCTCCTGCTTTTTCTAGTCTGCCACTGAAAGCCACCCCCCATTGTATATTTCAGCACAATTATTTTATTCTTTAACTCCATCATTTGTGTTTGACACTTTATTATATTTTCTGTTTATTGAAATTCTGTGTTCATGAATTATTCTCCTCACCTCGGTGAACATCTTAAAACAATTATTCTGAACTATTCATGTGGAAAATGTTTCTCGTTTCCTATTGCTGCATTACAAATTACCCCAAAACTCTGCAGTTTTAAACAACACATTTATCATCTTATACATCTTACAAGTTAAAGATTTCCCTTTAATCCACATTGTCATCAGTACTTGTTATATGTTGATTTATTGATGACAGTCATTCTGACAGGTGTGAGGTAATATCTCATTGTGGCTTTAATTTGCATTTCCCTGATTGGTGATGTTGAACATCTTTTCATATGTCAATTGGCCATGTGTATGTCCTCCTTAGAAAAATGTCTATTCAGGTCCTATGCCCATTTTTAATTGCATTTTTTATTTTGTTAGTATTAAGTTGTATGAATTCCTTATATATTTTGGATGTTAAACCCTTATCAAGATATTATTGGTGAATAGCTTACTCCATTGAGTAGATTGTCTTGTTTTATTGATAGTTTCTTTTGTTATGCAAAACCTTTTAGTTTAATGTTTTTTCCTTTGTCTTGCCCAAGGAGACATATACAAAAAAAGTATTACTAAAAGCAATGTCAGAGTTTATTGCCTATGTTTATTGTTTTATGGTTTCAGATCTTAGATTTAAAACTTAAACTAAAAATAGATTATAGTTTATTTCTATCGTGTTTCCCTGAAAATAAGACATCCTCCGAAAATAAGACCTACTTGCAAGTTTCCTTCCGAGTGAAATATAAGGCATCCCCCCGAAAATAAGGCCCCCCTAGGCTAAACATGAGAGATTTGGTCCACTGATTCTGAAAGAAATGGAGTCACAAGAAATTCACCAGGAAATTCAGGAATTGGATTGTTATGATGATGTTCCAGGAGATGACATGATTGTCATTGAATAAATGAGTAAATTCTTGATACTGTAGGATTCACAGTTTGTCTGGTTTGTGTTGACAACTACCGTACTATCGTACCGTATACAGGTAATAAATTTCCTTTATTTTCATTTAACAATAAATGTGTACCGTATTCTTCATAGAAAAATAAGACATCCCCTGAAAATAAGACCTAGCACATCTTTGGGAGCAAAAATTAATATACTGTCTTATTTTTGGAGAAACGGTAGTGTGTGGAGTCCAAATGTGGTCTTTCTGTTCAGTTTTTCTAGCATCCTTCATTGAAGAGACTGGCTTTATCCCACTGCATACTCCTGCTTCCTTTGTCATAGATTGATCTTTGGTAAGGGTTTATTTCTGGGCTTTCTGTTCTGTTCCATTGATCTTTGTATCTGTTTTTAAACCAGTGCCATGTTGTTTTGATTAATATAGCCTTGTAGTGTAGTTAGATATCAAATAGTGTGAACTTCCAACTGGTTCTTTTTTCTCAAGATAGCTTTTATTGTTCGTGGCTTTTTAAGATTGTTATAGGTTTGTGAAAAACGTCATTGGTATTTTGATAGACTTTGAATTAAATTTATAGATTGCTTTGGGTAGTATGGGCATTTTAATGATAATTGTTCCTATCCATGAGCGTGGTATATGGTTTGATTTATTTGTACCTTCAATTTCTTAAGTGCCTTATAGGTTTTTCACCTCCTTGGGTAAATTTATTCTTAGGTATTTTAATTTCTTAATGCAATTAAAAATGTTAATTTCTCTTTCTGATAGTTAAAGAAATCAATTGTATTTTTAATTGTTTTCTGTGACTGTAACAAATTAATTTATTAGTTTTAATAGTTTTAGTTTTAATAGTTATTTGTGGAATCTTTGTTTTTAATATATATAGTTATTTGTGGAATCTTTGTTTTTAATATATATACTTTATGCCATCCATCTGCAAGTAATAGCAGTTTTAATACTTCCCTTCCAATTTGCATGGCTGTCTTATTTCACATTGTTTTATCTTGTGTACCCTAAAGTAGCTATTTTAGTTGTTCTTACTATCCTTGTCTTGCAATCTTTTTATCAGCATTATAAATAATCAACTTCCTTTACTATATATTTACCTTTCCCAGTAAAATTCATACTTTCTGATGTTTTCTTATTATTTCTTTTCAGCTTAACGTCTAACTTATCCTTGTAAGGTTGGTTTTGTGGTGTTGAACTCCATTAACTTCTCTGGAAAACTCTTCTTTCTCCAATTCTGAATGATATCTTTGCTGGGCTGAGTATTCTTGTTTGGAAAGTGTTTTGTTTT